GGCCCCAGACAGGAGGGACATCTCCCCTGGCTGTCGTGTCTCCACTGGCAGCAGCAATTTCTCACAATTAGGCTCCTGCAGCAGGTACTTAACCCGGGGGCAGGCTGATTGTCTGTGTTTAACTTCCTCCTCCATTTCAGCTCCGTGTTCAAACCCTGTCCCCCCACGGCTCCGTGCCTCTCTGTTCTTCCCCTGATGGAGGGTTATAAAGCTGTGACAATTGTTATTGATAATCCAAACCAGCCTTTTCTTTTCTGTGCCTCACCTYGAGCGAGGGGACGGCAGGAGCTCAGTGAGGCTCAATGAGCAAAGAGCAAAATCAGCCTGAAAAGGAGGCTTTTCGGTGAATTTCTGATGGCAGAAAAAGCAGTCTCTGAACATTGTTTGCTCAACAATGTCTTTTTAGCTAGACTGGGGACACAGTTCCTTTGAAAGATCACTGGCAGGGTTTTTTTTCATCCAGGCCACTTAGAATTGAATAATAATTTATGCTGGAAAAGCCCTTTGGGATCGAGTCCAAGTSTTGACCCAGCACTGCCAACACTAAGCCATGTCCCCAAGCCTTACACCTGTGTGTGTTTTAAATCCCTCCRGGGATTGTGACTCCAAAAGTTCCCTGGGCAGCCTCTTCTTACATCTGATCATCATTTCCATGAAAAAACTTTCCACAAGATCCAATCTGAACCTTCCTTGGTGCAGCTTGGTGCCGTTCCCTCTCCTTCTGTCCCTGTTCCCTGGAGCAGAGCCCGACCCCCGCGGCTGTCCCCTCCTGTCAGGGAGTTGTGCAGAGCCACAAGGTCCCCCGCCCCGATCCCATTTTCTCCAGGCTGAGCCCCTTTCCCAGCTCCCTCAGCTGCTTCTTACAAGACTTGAGCTCCAGACCCACCATACCTGCACATCTCAAGGATTCCAGAAAGGTTCCTTGGCTGCTGAGTGATCACTGCATCCCCCCCAGAGCAATGACAGGTAGAGAAGCATCAGTGGGTGAGGTGGTGTTAATAAAAAATTATTCAGTCCCTGACTTTGATGTGAACGTTCAAAATGTAATTAATGGTTCAGACAGGCTGATACAAAAATACAACATTTGCACAGTGAAATCCCAGAGACTGCAATTTTCCTTGCGTGGGTTCAAGACTCATTTCAGAAGATCAGTGGCAGCTGTTTCATTGCTTAAGCTTCTTAAGAACTTCCTTTTTTTCCACCCCCAAGGTCTCAGGACACATAGAAAATTTTACTTCAGATAACATGCTTTACTTCAATATYTGATCTCTCAAGTATTTGAACTGCGCCCATGTGTTTCTGTCCTGCTTTGTGGGTATTTTTGTTTTGTTGAAGCTGAGACACAGCTTTTAKTCCATTAGCCGAGTACAAAATTACAACTTCTCAGATGTTTTCTTGCATTGTTTGGAAGTTATAATTCCAAGAATACAGACATAGAGAAGTTTGTCCAGTTTCAAATATCAACACTACCTGAGAATCATAGGTGAATTATAAATTTTCTTTTAACCTGGGGGAAAACATTATGAAAAATGGGTAGACAGTCAGATCCCAGGAACAGATGCTACAGATCTTTTGAGACTGAATGTTCACAATAGTAACAGGCAGAAGGGATTATAGAGAGGGGACAGTAGGACCACTGCCCTTTAAAAATAACAATACAAAATCTCATCTTGGAAAAGGAGGTTTCAGTGGCTTCCTCTGTGAAGGGAATCAGTGTGGCAWTGGGAGAATATTTTCAAAATTGTATAGTCTCAGTATTCAGAAAAATAGGAGATTGGAACCAAGAGAAGAAAAAGAGAGAGAATATAAAGCTTCCTGGGCCAGCTTCTATTTGTTGATTCAATTCCAGTTTAGTTTCTTTCTCCCTGAGCCTGAAATTTAAGTAGTTTTTACTTAATTATTCTTCCTCTGCTCAAGGATCTGGACGGCCACCAGGTGTCAAGTCTCTACACCTGCAGCCAGGGAGACCTGGGGATTGGGTATTTGAGAGGTGATTTAGGGAAAGGGAAGGGAAGGGAAGGGAAGGGAAGGGAAGGGAAGGGAAGGGAAGG